GGGACTAAATGTTGGTTTTAGCCAACATTAGGCATTGTGTTCTTAGAAAATAGAAAAAATAAAATAAAATAAAATAAACCACACAAAATTCATACAATGTGCATTAATAAACCTTTAATTTTCACTCAAAATGTGTCTCAACAACACACAAGATGACACATAATTGTTTATCATGATAAGAACAACATAAAAACAAAATCCTGTGATTTAAACATCTTTTATTTTGTCAAAAAATTGCCAAGAACGACACTATAAAAACTCCCAAGACCTCTAAACTATTGCTCTATATATTGGACAAACAATTGATGTTATTCATGACGTAGAAAGATAGCATTTCCTCTTTCCTAGAAGGGCCTTTGGAAGCTTCCAATATTAAAGAGGGTATGAATATATGCAGCATCACTGATAAAAGGGATCTCAGCGTAATTCCCAGTAAGAGCATACCTCACACAATATAGCAAGGTGAAAATGAAAATAAATCCAATGGCTGCGCCGAAATGCATCCCATACCTGCCATTATAGTGTATAAGCGGGAAAAAATTGCATGAATAGCAAAATATCTGGAACGCTGTTTCCAGTAACATCCCCATCATGAAATGGAACCGAAGGTAGTGAGGCCAATTTTCGTTCTTCACAATTCCAATATATGCAAAGTAGAAATATACCATTATGAACCAAGATGGCAATCTTTTAACAGCTCCAGGGACAAAGAAAACTAGCTCTTCCAAAACCTCAAAGTGTTTTAGGAAGGGGTGAATGTAATATCCTGCATCAGAAATCTGCAAGGCTAACAAATAAGGGACACATGCTAAAGTCCTCCACCACCAAGCTGGCTTCTCGGTTATCACTGGGTATCGAAATTTGAATATATCATTGTACACAGCTTTTGGGGGCATAAGGGGTGTACGCTGTGGATGTAATGCAGTACTTATATGTGATACCCCAGCTTGCTCTCTTCCTAAAAATTGTGATGATGTGGGTGCAAGTTGCATGACATGTTTTCCTGCCAAAACAAAATACATATATAAATAATCAAGTAAATGAAACATAGATAGGACACATGATACCTATGATGGTTGAGAGATATGACAATGTAAGATGATCAACATGCCAAAGCTTTTTTCCAACAATGACCCTTTTAAATAGGGAAAACATGGACTTTGACTGAAACTTGATCCTGTCAACTGTCATTCCACTCAGCTCAACCATGAAGATACTTATTTCTCACATAAAAGACATCCACCAATGGTTCTAATCTTTAGGATAAGTGTGAATCTTTACAACCATATCCAGATATTAATTAAAATAAATGAATTACTCCTCTTTCTCTATAATTCAGCATTGTTGTGGATACAAAGCAAATATTGGGGCAAAAAATGCTGATTTTTATTCTCTATAAACATGAATATAATTGACCAATGGAAAGTGTGCTTCAAGTCAACTGCACTTTGGTCATTTTAGCTCATGGAATGGCTATTTAGTGGTTATTATATAAAAATTAACCAAAATAGAGGGCAAGTGTGGCATGGTAGAAATGGTTATTAACCTTTTTCATAATAACTAATACGTAGGAATAAGGTGGTACTAGTTATTACCCCCTCCTCTCCAGGCCACCTTAATCTCTGTCACCGAAGGCAAACATGAAATAACCACTCCTACTACAATACTCTCTATTTATTTTATTTTATTTTCATGTAATAACTATGTAAGTAGTCATTCTATGTACCAGACATGACCTAAGAGTTTCAGGTTAAGAAGTCCCTTCTCGACCCTGTACATATCAATTCAGGAGCTGTTGTTAGCTGACCTATCAGTTTGTTATTGTAGCAACAAGGGTGCCAGTAATCAATCATAATTCACTAAACCAGACTTTGATCAAGGAAAAAAAAAAAGAACAGTGTACCAGGAGAGAGCAAGCAATGTAGTTGCTGATGTGCTCCCTGAGTACTCTTGCTTGAAAACATAAGATTGGGTTGCATGTTTGACTTGCAAGCAAGCACTGGGGGCTTCTGTGTAAGGTAGATCCTGCCACCCCTCTTTAGAATCACATCTTTATGCCTGGTTTGACAACAAGAAGCTAGTTTAACATAGAGAAAACAATAAATCACTGTTTTTTGAGAAAGTAAAGGATATTTTAGTCTTCTTCAAAGTGAATTAATAAAAGTGACTTAGTTCCAGGGCATTTTTCAGCTTAATTTTTTGCAGGTAGGGTTGATAAACATTATTCCAAAAAAAAACAAAACAAAAGGTAAAAAATTGTAACCACTCGGAAAAATCTGGTTTTGTGCAGCGCCATATTTGAGATAATGAATTAAAAAAAGACCGACAATTTTGCCAATACATTCGATCTCTAGAGCAAGTAGCCATTTTTAATCACTCCATAATAATAACGAATAACATGATTCAATTACAGATGTCTTGCTCCAATTGAAAATGCACATTTGATTATTTTCGTAGAAGCATTCATTAATAACTAAAACAAGAAAAGGGAAATAGACAATGGATAAATTATGAAGAAATTTCAAAACAGCACCATAGATACAGAGGACGGAAAAACAGAACAACAACACAAAAGCGAAAACCCAATCCTCCAAAACCGTAGAAGTGCAAAACCCATAATAATTCCATCAAAATCTATAAACCCATGAATGGTAATCCCAAAAGGGCAAAACTTCTTCTCTGATAAAAAGACAGATGAAAGTGCGAGGAGAGTGGAAGGTACGTACCGGAGAGAGGCAGCAGCAGGAGAAAAGCCAAGGGGAGCGAAGGTATAAGGCTTGGGAAGAGAACGGCAGCTATCCATAGCCGGACCGAGAGAGGTAGAGATTATGGTGGCGTTTTGGTTTGTTTCCGCAACGGTATCGGGTCGCCACCCGAGAGTCTGCGGGAAGCGTTTCTTCTATGCGAGGTATTGGAAACTTGGAATTATATATGGCAACGGCAGTGGGGATTTGGTGACTTTGATTTTTTTTTTTTTTTTTAACCATGTTTGACGGCTTTACACGGTTTATTTAAACCAAAAATGAGAAATGAATGGCGGTGTTTTAAGTCGGTTGAACGACTTTACCTCCTTGACCTTAAGCGGGTGTTTGGTTCACTCAAGGATCTCAGGAAATAGGCAGCAAATTTATTATAGAAGTTTTTAAGGTTTGTCTAGTTAGCGTATTACTTTATTAAAAAAATTTTATTAGAAAAATAGTTAAGAGTATTAAAATTTATAATAAAATTTTAATAAAATTTTATTAAGTTATTAATTTTTTTATATTTGAAAAAAATTAATATAAAAAAAGTTAATAAAAAAAGTTATTAAATAAGTCTAATATAAAGATAATTGTAAGAAAACTTTTTCTTTTTGAATAGATAGGGAAAAAATTTTATGAATTAAGAATTGTATTAAAAAATAAATATTAAAATTATTATCTTTATTCTCCTTTTATTGTAGTAAAATATAAAAATGTATAAATAATCTTATAAAAAAAATTTCTAACCCCCCCTCCAATTTTTGAACTTAAAATTTTACTTATAAACTTCACCTCTTTGGAAAAAAACAAAAAATCATACCTTACCCTGTATTTTCTTTTATATTAACTTTTTGGTATCCAGTAATCACATTTAGTTTCAATTAATCTAAAATCGAATTACATCGAATCTCATTAGAAGAAAACTTTCTTAACACCTGTTTCTCCACTTACAAAACTCGAATTCGAAATCTTATTTAAAAAAAATCAAATTTCTTTTACTTGAACCAATAAATCGATGGTTAACTTGTATTCTTTTTTCTTGTCAAAGCTACAAAAAGAAAACTTTGCCGGGCAAGTGGCGTGATGAGAGGCAATTAAATACCAAAATTGCCGTCTAAATTTTGGGACTCAGTACAGAAAAATAACATGAATATTCTTATAACTTTCCTGGGAATCTTTTATAATCAATTATATAGTTTCTATAATTGATTATATTTATGTAATAACTAATTAACATAAAAGTGAGTAATTGATTTTTTTTAGGTAATGATTGGTATATTTTTAGCTACCAACATCCATCGATTTAGTTATTAAATTTTACAAAAAAAAAATTGTTTATTTTAAATTTAAATTTGAATAATAATTTTTTATTGAATTTGTTATGAAGTGTATTGAACTAAAAAATATACAAATTATTATTCTTTTTTTATAAGAGACTTTATTATAAAAAAATCGGTTATATATTATTTTGTAAACATAGTAACCTTGGCTTGTAATTTATTATATTTTACTTTATAAGGAATTATTTTAATTTTATAATCAACTATATTTTACTTTGTAATAATAATCTAAAGTAAAAGAGAAATATAACAAATTATATTTTTTAATACAATCAATTATAATTACTGAAAAAATTTGCAAAATAACCAAACGCGGGAATCTCACACAAATAATTTGCCCCATAACATAATCTACTCTACAAAACAATCTGTGTAAAAACAGTCTACTCAGAAAAACAATCATGCACTAACCAAATAGGCCCTAAAAGAATGTGAATATGGGCTTAAATATTTTTATGGAATTCTCACTTTAATTGTATTTGATTGAATCCGAAAAATTTCTTCTATTTACCTCAAATTATAAGGCTCAGTCTAGTGGTATTGGGCCATGCTGTTCTATGATGTAATAATAGATTTTTTTTTCTTTTTACTATCTAAAAAATATAATAATAATTAAAATTAGCAACAATATATTTGAATGAGGAATGCTAGGGGCAATCGCCACCAGCACTCGCCAACGGACACCCGCTTAATGGCTTTTCCACGTCACCATCACTTTAGGTGAGTTACCGAAAACTTAGAATAGCCGGTTCCTTTATTTCTTTTTGGAATTGTGCAATTATCTGACGTTCGTACTTCTTATTGAAAAGTCTTATAGAGGAAGGAACTCTGAAAGACTATAGAAAATGAAAAACTCCCGCCATTAACTCCGCACCGACGCCATGGCTAGCAGTTAAAAATGATTTATGAATGATGATGGAGTTATGATATGTAAGAATTTTATCTTGTGATTAAGTTATAAAATATTAGCCTCTCAAAATTATTTTTGTTAAAAATTAGAATTGTATTTGATTTTTTTTTAAAAAAAATTCATACCCCTTTACTTAAAACATTAAAAAAGATATTAGGAGATATAAATATAGATTTGTTTTTTATGTTTCCTTTTTTGAGGATTTTTTTTTTTATGTTTCTTTATGATATAAATTAAGATGCATTAATTATATTTTTTAATAATTTATATAAAAAATATAAGAATTAATTTAT